TTTTGGGTTATGACTAATTGATTGGTAGATTTATGTATTCTATCAGTGAATGAAATCCAATCCTCACAAGTTATCTCGTCTCTCAGATACTTTATTTTATTTATTCATGCATTTTACATTCCGCATCCTTATAGAATCAAGCTTAAGAACGTAGAGACCATTGAACGACATTTGATATCGCACAAATCCTTGTGGATACGATAAAATAGAATACTTATTTTTGCTTTCTGCTTTACTGCAACAACAAACATGTGGCCTTTCATTAAAAACTCAACTTTCTTTTCAGGAGAAACAAATTTCTTAAAGGGAAATTTGACATTTTTCATGGAACTATAGTCAAACCCTGGAGCCTTCTTCTCCTCAATCTCGAAGATCTCTTCTAACTTATTAGAACCATTGTTAAGCATATGTACTTATTTTGTCATATTGTCAAGTTTGGACTTTAACAATGTGACTTCCTTTTCGAAATCTGCAATGGTTGAGAAAAGTTTCTCCTTTTCCATGAGAAGATTACTTATGATTTTTTTGTTTCTCTTTTCTCATGCAAAATTCCTTTCACTCAGTGAGCAACTCTCTATAAATTTCACCAAGATCTTCTGTTGAGATTTCTTCATCATCATACTCACTACAACCATCATATTTTCGAGTGAAGGCTATAACTTTATTAGCTATTTATCAGTCAATTTCATCATCCAAACCAGACCAAGTGATTAAAGATCCCTTTTTATGCTTTCTTAGACAAGTAAGAAATTTAGTTTTAATGTGACCAAACCCATCACATTTATAGAATTGTGCTTTTTTTTCTTTATTGGATTTGAGATCCTTTTTGCTCTTGTTTAGGGGACTTATGTCTGACACCTTGTCTAGGACATTTGTCTTCTATCTTCTATCCAATTTCTTTAAGGAGCTATTAAACATTATCCCAACAAGGGTTATATCCTCTGATAAGGTTTATCCACCTTTATCTTCATCCTCTTCAGTATTGGACACAAAAGTTATACTTTTGTTATTCTTTTGAGATCTATCATTCAAAGCCATCTAAAAGGTTTATAAAGAACTGATGAGTTCATAAACTTTGATGTTATTTAAGTCTTGAGATTCTTCAATAGTCGTGACCTTCATATCAAACTTCTTGGGAAGAGATCTTAGGATTTTTTGGCCAGCTTTTCTTCAGACATCTTCTCTCCCAATACAAATGAACCGTTGGCTATATCACAAAGACGAATGTCAAAATCATATATGGGTTCATCTTCCATCATTCTCAGATTTTCAAACTTAGTTGTGAGAGGTTGCAACCTTGGCATACGAATTTTAGATGTGCTTTCATGAGCAGTCTTGATAATATCCAAAGCCTCTTTAGCTTCAATACATGTGTTGATTAGTCTGAACATGTTCTTTTCAACATATTGTATTCAAGGCATTGTCATTAAGAAGAACTTCATCATCTTCATCTTTTGACTACTCAATTTTAGGTTTTAAACTTGTTGTACCATCTTAATGAAGATGATGGAGGGTCTATCAAATTTTGGATGACACTAATTATGATTATTGAAAAGCTAATATGGTTTCCTTTCTTGAATACATAGAGAACAAAACTTAGAAGGTCATGATTAAAGGTTGGAAAGAACAAGTTTAAAGGAAACTATCTTAGCTTTCCAATAATCACAATTGGTGCCATCCAAAATAGGTAGTCTATTGGTAGACCCTTCATTCTCTGCGTTGTCCATATAAACAAAAAATATCTTCTATAGAGCTTACCCAAATAGAACAAGGTTCCTACTCTGATGCCAATTGAAGTTTTGTTCCTTAGGGGACAGATGTTTGGGACAACCTGTCCAACTTATTAACCCAGTTTCAACACAATATGACAACAACATAAAATCAAAGTCAAAGTAATAAAGAACATAAGACAATTGGTAACCCAATTTGGTGCAAACAACACATACGTTTGGATGGCATTATACCCAAGAAAGGAAATCCATTTTTTAATAGAATTAGTACAAAGTGTCGTATATGAACAAGCCTCTTATTCAATGCCTCTCTTCTCAATTATACTCTCAGTGCATTTGTATTTAGGTATCCCCTTAAATATGAGAACCCCCTATCACTTTCTTTCAATCATTAATCCCAAGTGATCAACATCAATAAACACAATGATGAATGTTGAATTACAACTCAACTAAACCAACTATATATTATGCCTTATGATATGAATTAACCAATAACACAAACAAAGACTCAACCTAAAAACACAAAATATAACTTAAGCTCGTGGTTTTTAGGGCATAAAAAGATTCTCTATATATAACAATCCATATCCAGGTTGTTCTCCTTGGATTTAGGCAGTGATATCGTCCATATATGATGGAGATTCAGCTAGGATGTTTTTCTCCAAAATAGCTCCACAAAAATATTTGATTTGATTTGAACTCAAATTTAAATGAGATTTAAATTTAATTTAATTTAATAATCAAACAAATCATATTACTAAAAGATAGCAACAACCTTTGTTACACAAGTAACAGAAAAACGCACTATAGACATTTGGAAAACACGTGCATACAACAATAACCTTGTCCTGCAGACAAGAGCCACATGCTGGGACAACTATCCCCACATGTTTCTTTCTTCACAAGAGCAACTGAGGCTAGATGTGCCACACCATCTAGAACATCATGTCCAACATGTGTTCATACCATTTTTTTTTGCATAATATAATCAATCCAAAAGGAACAACAAAGAATTATGTGTTAACTTCAATCGTTTTGAATTTACTGTTGCCAACAAAAATATGGAACAAATCATGAAGGGTACTAGATCCTTAGACAATTGCTATATGTGGAGCTCTCTATCAAAAGTTTAACTACCAGCCTGCTTGATCACTAAAGAAGATGAAACCAAATTGTGGTACAAGAAACTTGGTCATCTAAATCTCAGAAGCATGAGGAAGATTATCTCTAAAAAAGCTATCAGTAGTTTGCCTAACCTCACACTTGAGGATGGAAAATTTTGTGAAAACTATTAAATAGAGAAATAGACTAAAAAGCCACACAAGAAGGTGTGACATCTTACCACCTCAAAGATTCTCGAGTTAGTTCACATGGATCTCATGGGACCCATGCAGGTAGAAAGCTTGAGTGAAAATAAATATGTTTTTGTGTGTGTTAATGATTACTCAAGGTATACCTGTATTGAGTTTCTTAGACAGAAATCAGACATCTTTATCACATTTTAAAGACTATGTCAATGTCTTCAACGTTAGAAAGAGAAAAAAAACGACAAGATCATTTGAATACGAAATGATCGTGGAAGAGAATTTGAGAATTCTAATTTCTTGTAATTATGCCTTTTAGAAGGAATTATGCATGAGTACTATGATCCTATCACTCCGCTATAAAATGGAATTATTGAACGCAAAATTAAACTTTGCAAGAAATGGCTAAAATAGTGCACAAATTGCATTCAAAGGTGTCCACTTGATGGATGTGAAGTGTTTGAATGCAACAATTAAATGTTTGTATGTAATTGATTTTTCTCGTTTAACTTTTTAGATTTTCATCCATATACCTTAATAAATTATGATTAAGAATTTGCAACTTTTTTTTAAATAAAAATGTACAAACTAAATTTATCTAATATAACCAAAATGCATATAACCCCAAAAAAACATATGTTTGTCATCCAATACAATCAAAATATATTACATAACAAAAAGTCTCAAGATACACTTAAAATTATCTCAAATTATATAACATAAAAGATATAATACATGCATTTTGTTTCTTTGGTGTAATCCCTAGAAAAATTATTAACTAAAAATATATAAAAAAAAAAAAAGTTAATTCAAAGAACCTACCAACACTTTTATGATTGAAACTGTTGAAACATATTTGTATATAGGAACTTTCAATTTTTAATGTAATGAAACACATTATATACGTGCACTTTCATTTATGGTGTGCATGGGCATATCTTATAAATTGCACATCTGAATTGTATAACAAGGGCATGCATCACCCTTAATATTGAATTAAAAAATTTCCAAATATAATTCTCATATCCTTGAAATTAAATTTTTTTAAAATATTATAACTTCACATATTCATTTTTAAACTTAATTTTAAACATACTCCTCACACGCAACAAAGTAACATAAAATTTAAATTCAAATAAATTTTAAACAAGATATAATTGTAAACAAAGAAAAATTGCCAGCCAAGTCTAATTATGTTTTAATTATATATTTTTTAATAATCTTATCAAAACTACATTATTTTGTTTGAAAAAATAACATACATTTAACGGTTGATTTTGCAAAATAGTTGGTTCAGTCTTGATTCTCATGAATTTTTATTGGTTCAATGATATATTCAATCCAACAATAAGACCAAAAAGTTAAATCCAATTTTGAAAACATTAAGTGCCCATGTCGGTTTCCACTTCATTCACTAAATAATAAAATCCTTGAAATTAAATAACAATAATAACAAGTAAATTCCAAAGCAATCCGTTAAATTTTTATTATTTATTATCATATTAAGATGATAGTACTCTCTCTCTCTCTCTCTCTCTCTCTCTCTCTCTCTCTATTTTGTTTAGCTTCCAACCCAAGCTCAACACTTTATAGATCATTTAAAACCGCTTCAAACCGCTTCAATCATCTTCATCTCCGCACTACTCTCTACTTTCTTCAACCTTCATTTTCTCTTCCTCTCTCATTCATCCATTTTCAAGTAAGTACTACATATTCATTCATATTCCACACTTCATCATCATCCACTACACTGTTTTACTCGTTCCATTTTCTGTAACGTATATTCAATTCACTTTATCAACAAACAATCACACATGAATTTCAATCGGTTATCATCATCTAATCTAAAATGTATTAAAACTTGTGTTGCTAATTTTATTATTCTTGGTTTTGTTCCCAATGTGATCATTTCTATGTGCTATTTTTGTGTTAAATGATTTGATTTAGGTAGAAAAAAACAAGAGAAATGTTGAAAGTCAAAAAGGAGCTTAAGGATTTTGAATTTGAATCACCTCATCGAGATTTGCTTCATTTGTGTCTTTCTTCGCCTAATTGTAATAGCGACACTTGTTTTCTCGAATCAACACCTGTTACAGGGTAACTGCTTGATTAATGCTTTCGATTTTTAAAGTGTTAAGAAATGTACTTTGTTGCATTATTGCTTAACAATTTTTCATAATTTTGATTTGATAGGAACAGAAAATCCCAAATTAGCTTCACAAAAAGATTATGGACAGAGGAAGAGGTTTGTTGCTTTAACTTAAAATCAGTAGTTATATTTGTAGCACGGACAATTTTCCGACATTGACAATTACCTTTAATTTATTAATTTTTAAAAAAAATTCAGTTTGATGATCTGAAAGTGTTAGGATGTCAGGTGTGTGTATGTCTGAGACGAGCTTCATAGATCTTATACGCGAAATTTGATTTGGCCATATCTGTTGTACTAATTTTAACTATTATTGGAAGTTGGAAGTTACAGTGTTTATGCTCTGACTTTGTAATCTTATGATTATGAAAAACAGGATAATCTTTTGATTGAAACAGTCAAGAAGCATGATGGAAGCAACTGGAAAAATATAGGTGGATGCGATATAATATCCGTATAATTATCAATTTCAATTTCAATTGAACTATTAGTTTATGTTTAATTTTTTTGTTGGCTTATCAATAATTTGCTACTACGAATTCACAATTTCACATGAGTTTTATCTTAATGGCTAAAGTAACATGTTGAATTGAACTTAAAGTTAGTGTGGTTGTTCAATTGGTCTTTTGCAGCTGCGTGCCTTCCTGGGCGAACTGACGTCCAATGCTTCCGTCGCTGGCAAAAGGTTTCAAATCCTGATCTTGTAAAGAGAACATGGACAAAGGAGGTGCTCTTCTTTATACATGTTGTAATTATTCTTTATGCAAATTTGTGTTTGATGAAATGCTGATGTTGATTGTTGATGGTGGTTGTTGTTTCTGTGGTTAACATTTCAGGAAGACGAGTCCCTAATTAAACTAGTAAGAAAGTATGGTTTTAAGAGATGGTCTTTTATTGCGAAATCCATGCCGGGTCGCATAGGAAAGCAATGTCGAGAGAGGTAGGCAATCATAGACCTTAGTAAATGTCCGATGTCAAAAGAGGAAAGCATACTGTGAATTTGTCTTTAATTGTTTTGGATGTATTGCTATTCTTCTGACCCAACAACAACTTTTGTATGCATTCTTACCATTCACAAACAATTTTCTGTTGCTTTTTGCTGTTGGATTTCTTAGATTGGTTAACTTCTATGCATATGTTAGATAATCTCAGTTGCTACATCGGTATTATATTTTGCAGATCATTATATACTGTCTTTATTCATATTAAATATGTTGCTAGAAGATGAACCAGTAGTTACTCATTTCAGGTGGCATAATCACCTTGATCCGACTATAAAAAAGGATTCTTGGTCGGAGGAGGAGGAATTAATACTTACTCACTATTACCAAATCCATGGCAGTAAATGGTCAGAAATTGCTAGGGTTCTTCCTGGAAGGTACTTATCCAACAATGTTATGCGGCCTTTTCAACTTGCACTCTAAAATTATATGGTTCAAGTTCAAAACAAACTCGTTTCTGAAGGCTAAAAGTTAGAACAATTATGCTAGAGTTATCGATAAATGTGACATTTCTGAAGCAGCCACTTATATTCATTATATCTATGACACATAATAACTGTTTGTATCATTTGGGTAAGCCAGGAGTGACAATGCTATAAAAAATCATTGGAACTGCTCAATGAAGAAGAAGTTGTCTGCATCACCAATCAGATGTGACATGAATAACGTTTCCACTTCCAGTTTCTGCATTCCTTCAATAAAGCCATCACATGATTTGGTTAAAGCTGAAGATCAAAGTTTAATTGGAATTGTTTCTCCCAAGCAAAGTCACTGGTTGAAACACAGTGCTGATAACAGTTTTTGTTTCGCAACTCCTAGGGACTATGAAATGGAAACAGTTATGAGTTGCAAAGACCATGACAACCCTAAGTTGTTTGCTACGAATATGAATTGTTTCCCTTCCTCCGGGACTGTTACTGATGAGTCCTATAATTCTCCTAAATGGCAAAAGGTTTCTTTTACAGATTCAAAGTTTGATGCTGGTAATGAATCTGATAGTTCTCATTTGAGCTACTTAAAATTGGTTAATCATGAGAAGAAAGTTTATATTGGAAGGGAAAACAATAGCGAAAGCGACGTGAGCCCAGAATGTGTACTAAGAAACTTAGCACTGACCTATGAGAACATTCCTTCTATTATAAGGAAAAGAACTTCTAGGAAGGAATGTAATGCTACCAATTATGACAAGTCCCAAACACCATCTAGAATTGGCTTAAGATAATTTAAATCTCAACCAAGGGTTTATTCTATTCCTTCCTAAACATGGAATGGGATGATTGACTATGCTTGTAATATTTGATATATAAACCCTTAAAGAAATACAAGTAGGCTTTGTTTCGATTGATAAAGAAAGTAAAGGCAATGAGATGAATTTTATGAATGTTTTGATTACTTTTTAAAATACCTCTACAAATATTTATATAGTGTAATTTAATTGGATGGGTAAATAAGTTTTACATTATTAATATATATAAACTAAATTCAAAAGAAATGCATAAAAAAAGAAGATAGAGGAATTTAATGTTGAAAAAATTACATATAAGTACAAAATGAATAGATAGTGATATCGTTTTTTGGTTGTTCGGATTGTGAAAAGAAAATGAAGAAAAAGAAAAGTGATGGGAGTAGAAAAGAAAGAAGAAGAAAATAAAGGTGCGTAGAAAGTTAGACAAATTTTTGAATTGTTTGACAAAACGACAAAAAAAATGAGGAACTGGAAGGAAAGAGGACAACTTTTACTTACATTATTTCTCTTGTTTGATTGCGGACAAAACGAGAAAAAAGAAAAATGTAGAAATGTAAAAAATAACACAAGCATCTTTAAATAAAAATGTGAGGATGAAATTGGAAAGGAACAACTTTATGTTTTTAAGTGACTTTTCATTTCAAAATATTTCAACGGTTGATGATTAATAACTCGGTCCTTAATTATGATATTTTATTGAGTTTTTTCTTTGTTCCTTTTATTAAATCCTTTTAAAGCGTGTTAATTATTATTTTTAAAATATACTCTTTAGTTATATTATGTTATCTTTTTATTATGTAAATTATTCTTGTTTAAATATTAATTATTTTTCTTGATTAAGGATAAACTTATAAAATTTTACTCTAACCAACTTTTTAATTAGTTTAACTTATTTACGGAGTCTTGTATTTAAGGGCGGATGTAGTATAATATTTTTTTTTTACTAATATATATGATATTTTTAAAATTTAATGCGCATCAATGATTTATTTATAAAAATATTTATATTTAATTTATAATTAAAAACATTAAAAAAGTAGAGCTGGTAAAACGGGCTATCTGCTGATCCATGACGGGCTCGGACTTTGTGCGGGCCGAGTTAAAAGGTCCATATTATAAACGGGTCACAATTTGATTGACCAAGTCCGGCGCTTCGGGCCGGCCCGATTTATATTATAATTTTGTTTTTTTTAAATTAAAAAGTGAGTGTTTCATTTAAAAAAATAATATAATACTATTTGTATATTGTACACACCATACTCTAATTTTATCATAGCGTCAAATTATAATAATATGACATTTCACATAAAAAATGCACAGTATATGACATTTCATTTCACTTAAAAAATGATAATAATATTGTACACACCAAAATATAACTTATAACATTTTTCTTGTTCCATTGATTATCTTTTTCATTTGAACAAGGTTCAAAATAAAGTAAAATTCTCAATGATAACATTAAGTTTTACAAATTAAATTAACAATAAGGTCTAAAGTTCATTAAAAAAAACTAAGCGGGTTATCTGCTACCTGGTCGGGCAAGCCCGGTTAAACATCGGGCGTTTAACGGTTCGAGTTTAAAAGTCTGGATAATAAATGGACCTTTTTTTTCTGTTCAAGCCCGGATTTGTTGGCGGGCTTTTGGGCCGGCCAGGTTGGTCTGACCCGTTTTGCCGACTCTAGATAAAAGTAACACAACTTTTATAAATTTTAGAAAAAAATATTGTTTTAGTCCTTTAAGTTATTTTAAAATATTAAGTTAGTTCTTTAAGTATTTTTTGTAATGCTTTGACTTTTATATTAAATAACATTTGCATTGTTAACCTTTTTAAAAATCTCCGTTACAATAAATTGCAAACTCATATACCATTTGAACTAGTTTTTCGCACTGATCAAGAATATGTAATTAGTTTTGCGTTTGATTGTATATTTTGGTCGGATCGAACAATTTTTTATTATGTATTTGTTCACTTTTTTCCTGATTCTCATGAAGCGTAACTTGTTTGATAAATTTTATTACATATTCGTGATCAGCGCGAAAAACCAGTTCAAATGGTATATGAGTTTGTATTTTATTGTAATAGAGATTTTTAAAATGGTCAACGACGCAAACGTTACTTAACATAAATGACCAAAGCGTTACAAAAAAAATTTAAAAGACTAACTTGATATTTTAAAATAACTTAAAGGACCTAGACATTATTTTTGCCTATTATTACTTGATTCCTCATATACTTCCACATATACTTAATTCCTCATCAATCATTTCAACTTCAGCAGCAACAAAAACTTTAGAAATTTTAGAAGCTTCGGCAGAATTATCAGCTTCTGCAACTTTAGTAGCTCTAGCAGCTTCAACATCTTTGACAACCTCAACAGCTCTAGCGCTTTAATAGCTACATTTTTATGACTTCAGCAACTTTAGTATCTGTAGACCTCAAAATCTTTCTTGAGGTCTCGATCTTCTTTGTTTTCTTAGCTGGAGAAGGTGGATGATTTGAAGTTCCTTCACCATCCTTTTTAGAGTTTCTTTTTCTCTTGAAAGTTGCATCAGGAGGAGCGTCTGGTAAGTTGCAAACGTCCATATCTGGATCAAATCCATCTACTAAGCAGTTTATCATGTAAACTCATAGATCCTTTGGAGGATCCTACTTAGTGAAAAGAGGAAAGTCGTTAATCTCAACCCTTTTAGAGGAGACAGATTCTTTGTCCATCCCTTCAGGTTTCACAACATCTTTGATCATAAGCATGTTTTCAAAGTTTTTCCCATTGAAGAATTTTTCCACATCTTTGTAGAGGTCATTAAAAATTTTCATTTCTTGTAGCTTGTCTACCAGCTTACTTTCAACCAAGATATCAAAGATTATCCTGCCTAAAGGAATCCACTTCCTCTACTTATTGCAATTGTTCCTTGTTTCTTTGACCATCTCTCTCAAGTATTTAAACAAGATGGAAGGAAAATTCATCTTGATACCTTTGGACATATAATACAACATGTATTTCTGGTCAGTATTAATGTAGTCCACATAGTTATTTGTAGGACGGTGATGAATGCACCCCAAGATAATCTTAGCACATATCCTAGATTAGGATTGAAGATTCTTGACCCCTGAATCTGATCCTTTCTGAAAGATGGTAGCCATAACTTCCTTTATTTTTGCCCCTGTTTGAACATTTGATAACATATTTTTCCAGACCCATCATGATTTAGTAGCTTGGCTATGGATTTCTCATAAGTTTGAATCTTCTGACCCATAATACTAGAGAAGATCTGAACTTCTGTAGCTTTTGCATGAATCCAAAAATATTTTACCAAGGTTGTATAAACTGTTCCCTTCAACCTATTGAAGTGTATTTCCCATCATTGGGTTGAAACATTGCTAGAGATATCAAACCCATTTTGCTTTAGGTTATCAAAATCTACAATAGTTTCATAGAGACCTTTCAATTTATCAATTGTAGTAGATAAAGAAATTTCAGGGATGTCTTCCACTAAGGTAATTTTCTTTTTTAGAAGACTGATATTGTTGATTTTGTTGTTGTTATAGTAGCTCGTATTGTTGATGTTGCTGGTCATCCGTGTTAGGGTTTTAAGGAAGGAGAGAGAGAGAGAGAGAGAGAGAGAGAGAGAGAGAGAGAGAGAGAGAGAGAGAGAGAGAGAGAGAGAGAGAGAGAGAGAGAGAGAGAGAGAGAGAGAGAGAGAGGAGGGAAAAAACTTTCAAGTATGGGTTGTGAGAACAAGCTGCATAGTATGTGAGAAGTTAATGTGTTGTGGGTTTAAGTAAAGAATTTGATAATAAAAAATTGAAAAAAATTCAATCTAACAAGGGAGGCGAAAAGAAATGATTTTCTCTAAAAACAAGAAACGATATTCCCAATGGGTTACCTCAACTGTTTAGCTGGACAAATATATGACAAATGTCTTACATTAGAGCCACACATGTAACACTTGATTTTCACCCCACAATAAGAGGGATCTTAGCGAGACAAATAGATATACCCTTAATTACCTTTTCTTGCTACAGAAAACAATGTTAGAGCATTTAAGATGAGCGTTATAGGTTCTAATGATTAACTTACTTATAAGTTCATCAGAGGGTATGTCCTTAAAGTCAAATTTTCTCATTCTTCAGATCCCCGTAGCTTCCCTTTACAAGAAGTGAGCATCCAAGATCTAAGCACCATGAATAAAATTTCATCTTTGCTAGAGTAATGAGAGCAACCAATAAGGAGAATAGAACTAAAATTCTATTGACTTCTTTATTTTTCTTCTAGGTTTAGGATTTGACAAGAAAATATTTGGTTTATGATAACCAATGCCTCTCTTCCCTTTACACTAGATCAATAAAGCCATAAAAAAGTCTTTCTATATAACCTTATCCTCTAAGTTGAATCCAAAGTTTTACATTTCTCAATTTTCTTATTCACTTTATGGGTTCCTTTTTAAGGAATCAAATATAGACTTAGCCGAGTCTAATTTGAAATCTTCTCATACTTTAAACAATAAATAACATGAAACACACAATTTCTGGATTCATGAAGATTTTGTGAACCTTTATGGTTTGAGAAAATTGTCTTCTAACGATTCAGTGCGATTCAAAACTTCTAAATGATATACCAAACCAGTAATCTTGGTTCAGTTCGTTTCTGAGTAAATTGAAACGGTTTTATTCTGTTCGAGTGAACTTTTACTATAGTTTTGGTCAATTCGGTTTAGTTTGGGTTTCTCACTGAACTGTACCGTAAACAACCTTAAATGTATGGGCTGACTTTATACCTTGAATCACATGGAGTGGATTTGAGATAAGTATGACCTTAGCTATTTGGGCCTTTGGTTGGCCTAAAGCAATTTTATTTTTCTTTCACGTAACATTCAACACTCGTCGTGAATTCTTCCACGGAGTCTGCAGGTTTCTGGATTATAGATTTTTTGAAGTGCCTAACTCGATTTTGTTATGGAAGGCTTTTGTGAACAAATCTCAGTTGGCATTGATCACTGTAACGAACGCCTCGTTGAATCTCGCAAGATATTCTCTCAGTGATTCACAATGTATTTAACGTACATTAAACAAACTAGTCGAGGATAACTTATGATGTTTGCTCGCGAAAAATTGGTGAATCAACTTCCCCGATAGGTTATGGGAAATGGTCACAGAGATCCTATACTTGCTCATGTACCATCTCAAGGCTTTCTTCTTCGCCGTCCCAAAAAGGAGTTTACACTTTATGGAATTAATGGTGCTTATTGTCACTGCTTGAGTATTAATGGCGATAATGTGCTCTAGTTGGTCAATCTTTCCGTCGAAGGTTTTTAGCGAAGGCAACTTGAATTTTTTTGGGACATGCGTATCTCATATTTCATTAGAGAGGGGTTGGGGATTTAGGATCTTTGTAATCACTGACTAGTCGATCTCCAATTATTGTTGTTGCTGAAGGTGTAAAACATTGTCATGAATCTTTGTTATCTCGTTCGTCGTCGTTGTTGTTTGCGGAAGGTTTTTTCATTTTGGAGTTGTGGTTAGGCTGACAAAAGTTTCAAGTGAAAGTCTGATCCAAGTTAGTTTTACTGAATCTCTCGGTGGACGCCAAATATACTTGTGGCGAGTACAATAAATAATACCCTGCTTGCGTTGTTGAGTACAATAAAGATTTCCGTTAAATATGTGAAAAATGAGTTCAATATTACTGAGCTACATCACTATGTATTTATAGAAGCGTTCGTTTAAGAGAAGAGTTGATTGAAAGATAAATTATAATGCCTACAAACTTAACTACATATCTCTTGACTTTGCCTTCGAGGCTTAAGTGACTTAGGGGAGCCATCCCTTTAATATATACCTTGAAGTTAATTCACAATACCATGAATACTTCTCTTATTGACCGAGAAATGTTTTTTGAACTTACTTAAAACATGACTTTCACATTCTCCTACAAGAAAAATGAGACAAACTTGATCACTTGTTTACCATATAATTTCACCATTTCTTATTTCAAAATTGTTTGCTTCATCCTAGTGTTGAAGAGTTAATGAACACAATACTTTTACCTTTAATGAACTCTTTTTATAACAATTAAATTTATCAAAGAAATTTTACCTAATTACTACTCACTTCGATTTAACAGTATATTTTCTTTTCTATTTTTATTTATTTTAAATTGTATGTTTTATGTAATATTTATTATTTTTTTATTAACTCACCTTTATCTATGGTATTTTAAATTGTTTAACTATCTCATGACCTATTATTAATAAGTTATTTTAATAAATAATATTTGTTTTATCATTAAAATTAAAATAATTAATTATTTTAAAAGCAATATTCATAAAACTTAAATTTGAAAATAATTAAAAAATTATTTTTTGAAATATGTAACAAAATAGCTAATAATCGTTATTACTTAGCATAAATAATTAAAAAAAAAACTTATTCTTATCTAGAACAATTTTCTCTTAAATGACTTTTCTTATCCATTGATCTAAAATGACATTCCAATTTAGTACTACTTGAACTTGATAGAAGTGTGGGTCGCTATCATCATAAACATTGGAACACGTGTTAATCAGAAAGTGAGTGATAACGTTGGACAAAATTAAAAATCAAATAAATATGAAGAAAAAAAATAATTTAATACTACAAACGAAGGAGAAGGAAGGTTCTGGAAAAGTGGATCACAAAACCAACGGCCCAAACCTAATCCGAACAAATCAACGGCCCGATCACACCTCCGCCGAGTCACAACTCACAAGTCACATTTCTCATCTCTCCACCTATCCATTCCTTCTAGCGCCTTCTTATTGTTCTAAGTGGACCCCACTTTTTTCCTTTTCACTTTTTTTTAAAAATTTCTTCTCATTTCCCTTTCATTCTCCAACGCACGGATACACACGCTCCTTTTTTTATTCCTATCCTATCTTTAATTTAAAAACTCTCTCCTAGAAACTTCTAGAATAAACAAACGCTAACCCATCTCTTTCTCAACCGCCGTTGCCGGTGGTTTCATCTTTCCCGTTCAACGCACTCCATCTCTTTCAAGGTAACCGATTAATAACGCTTATACTTATTTCCCTTAATTAATACTATAGTTTTATTTTATCTTTTTGACCCTATTTATACTCTTACGAAAGATAATAATAATAATAACAAGATGAACCTGACTTAGCTCAGTATAAATATATTATAGCTTATTCTTTTAATTAAGAAACGGTTATGATTTAGCTTTTAGGGTGGTTTAGGAACAGATCTGGAAACGAAGTTGATGGCGACATTACCGGTGGAGCAAACAGGTGAATCACCGACGACGGAATTGCAGAGATCCATTCCGACACCGTTTCTAACCAAAACGTACCAACTCGTGGATGATCCTTCTGTAGATGATTTGATTTCATGGAACGAAGATGGCACAAGCTTCATAGTTTGGTTACCTGCTGAATTCGCAAGAGATTTGCTTCCGAAGTATTTCAAACACAATAACTTCTCCAGTTTTGTTCGTCAGCTTAACACATATGTAACTGACTTTCTTTATCTGACTTTATTTATTTCGTTTTTGTTATAAATTTTTTGTTAAGATTTTTTTTTTTTTGGATTTTCGTTTCTAAACTGTTAGTAATTTTTGTGTTTCGTTTCTAGGGATTTCGGAAAGTTGTACCTGATCGTTGGGAATTTGCCAACGACGGTTTCCGACGAGGGGAGAAGAATCTACTCCGTGACATACAGCGGAGGAAAATATTATCGGCTGCAGGAACGCCGATTGTGACGACGGTAGCTGCGGCGACTAATGTTGTAACGGTAGCTATGGCGGCACCGGTTCGAATGGTGTCTCCAACAACTTCCGGTGATGAACAGGTGGTTTCATCGAATTCATCTCCGATTGTGGCGCACAATAGTGCTACAGTGCACCGTAGCACAAGTTGCACCACTTCGCCTGAATTATTTGAAGAGAATGAAAGGCTTAAGAAAGAGAATATGCAATTGAGTAACGAGTTGAGTCAATTGAAAAGTCTTTGTAATAGTATATTATCTATGATGAGTAACTATGCTTCTGGTTTTAGTCGCCAGTTAGAATCGTCTACTAGCGCAGCAACGGTACGGGCGGCGCTTGTAACTGAAGGAGGGAAAGCGTTGGATCTTTTGCCTACAAGGAATGTTTCGTTAGCTGAGGAGGCTGTGGCTGCTAATGTGGGTGGTGGTGTTGCTGGTGGTGGTGGTGCATCGGGTGAGATGGCGAATATGGCTGGTAATGCCGGTGGTGGTGGTGCATGGTGTGAGACGGCAAATTTGGCTGAACCTGAGCATGGGAATGGGGCTCAAGTTCCTAAACTATTTGGGGTTTCTATTGGGCTTAAACGATGTAGGAGAGAGTGTGAGGTTGAACCGGAGAGAGAGGAACGGGAGCAACATCAAATGCCAATGCAAATGCAAACACAATCCTCTCAGGAACATGATCGAGAATCAGATGTGAAATCGGAACCGCATGATGGCAATGATGACTCGGCTGATCAAGAGCATCGTTGGGATTTGATGAAATAATGCAGAAGCAGTGTTTAGAATTCGGACAAAAGAATTGCTGAAGCTCCACACATGTTTGAATAAGGCAAACACGTTACATAGCAATGAATTTTTAAAGAAACGTGTCGCTCCATTAACGTTGTGCCGGTGCCATTGGACAAGGACGTGGTTGGAAATTGAAATTTCATGTTGTTGTATATTGCTAGACGAGTTCTTGTTCGTAATTTAGGTTCCTTAATTGTTGAGCAAAGAGTGTGAAAGCCATGCAACAGAAAGTGAATATTGTCCACATCGGTGGTTAAAGAAAAATTATCAGCACATGCAAATGGATTTGCTGAATCAACGGAAAGTTTGACGAGCTTAAAGTATTCACAAAGTTTGTCTTTTTTGGAAATATTCTACAATCAACACTGTTTGTGGTTGATAAAATGAATTATTTCCAATTTGATACATTTACTAGCACACCTATGGACCAAGTTTGTTCCTAAGTTACACAGTTATAGTATTACTTTATTAAGATAATGTGGTCATTTTGATATATGTTTTGAATTAGTTTATTTGAATAGTGAACTTTTGTTTAAATTATTAATAAATTATCATTCTGAAAATTGGTTTTATATTTTGACATCACTTCAAGTTACAATATTGAAATACGGATTATGTATTGATTCAAATTAATTTACTAATTTTATATTTCATTTCTCTCTTTTCTAATTATCTGTATCAATTAATTTTTTTCAACCATCAAATTCGAATGATGGCTGAATCTTTTATATATAAGGGACATATCAAGTGAGAGAGATTTTAAAATAAGATATGAGAGGAACAAACAACAATTATACAGGGGGCATATCTAATGGTAGTTGTTTGTTACTCTCATTTTTCATTTAAAATCACTCTCATTTAATATATATATATATATATATATATATATATATATATATATATATATATATATATATATATATATATATATATATATATATATATATATATATATATATATATATATATATATATATGACAGTGTGTTCAATTTATTTTAAGAGTAAATTTTTATAATCTACTCTATAATTATAGTTTTTAAATTATTTTAAATTATATTTAATTGAATAAATATAAATGTTAATTTATTATTAGATTAGATTTAATTCAAAGATTATTACGTGAGGTAAGTTAAAAAAATTTATTTTTAAAGTAAGTTGATTTTATATATATATATATAAAGTCCATGTAACCACTTATTTCAAAGAAACATCCGTTTTTCCATTTTACTTTCTAATATGGCATCAGAGTGGAAAGATCAAATGATAATAAAATTGAGGAGGGACAATCTTCTTCCATCATCATCCTACCTCACCATGCACTTACTCTGAATAATTCTAATAATCCAAGAACACCACTTGTTTCTGTAAAATTATCGCACATGACTTGGACATAAAAGTAAAGATCAATTTTGTTGATGGTTCAATAAAAAACCAACACAGGAATCGACAAAATTTTCAAGCTGGAAGAAAGTCAATTCAATGGTGATGGCGTGGATAATTAACACCATAGATCCAAACCTTTACGATAACATCTCTCACACCTCAATTGCTTATGACATATGGATTGATGTTGTAGAACGATTTGTCTAGACTAATGCACCACACATCCATCAACAATGCATACCATTTGTCTGATGCAGAAAGAGGTAGATATTTCTATTACACTCAATTCAAAAAGCTTTTTTGATGAACTGCAACCAATACTAGACTGCAGTTGTGGAGTCTCCAAATCTTTAGAAAAAAGAGTAGAGCATCAACGAGTTCGTCTATTTCTTGAGGTCTTGATAGTGATCAATTCGCTCACATCAAAGACACAATTCTCAACTCCAATCCTTTACCCTCACGGCAACATGTTCTTTATCAAATACAACTAGAGAAATCACGCACAGGAAGAGATTACAACAATCAGAGAGGATCGTAAAATGCAAATCTCGCACAGGAAAATAAAGTTAATGCACAAGAGTCCATAATATGGCATACTCTTCACGGAACTTGCACCAGAAATCAAGCATATCATCTCGATACCATGAGTGGTAATATGTATGCAAATTGTACATGGATACTTAATAGTGGTGCGTAACATCACATGACTCATTTATCATCTGTTTTGTTAAACATTAAGAAACTGACAAAACCTTTTTAAATTGTTAATCTCATTGGAACATCCACACTTGTTGATTGCTTGAGAGATGTTTATTTGTCCAGTAACTTGATGCTACATAACGTGCTTTTTGTTCCTTCATTCAACTGCAACTTGATTTCCATTCATAGATTGACTTGTGATCTACATTCTAGTGACTTACGATCAAAATTGTTGCATAATCCATGAGTAACTAATGAAGAAGATTGGATTAGGTAGGATGAGTGAAGGAGTATATATGTTCACAAAGCAATCTCAACAAGGATTCTTAAGGGCAACTAAGAAGGATATGACAACTTTGTGGCATAGTAGAATGGGAAACCCTTCTACTCAAGCACTACAACAAATATCTCACCATCTCCAATGCAATTTTGACTCAAATAAATATGTTTGTTGTGATGTATGTCATAAAGCAAAACATAGTAGAAATTGTTTTCATTCAAGTATAGTAAAGTTGTTGCAGCATTCGATTTGATCCACTGCGATCTTTGGGGAAAATATAACACGGATGCATATATTGGATCACAATATTTTCTCACCATTATAGATGATTATACTAGAGACATTTGAGGGTATCTAATGCAAAAGAAAACAGAAATAATGCATCACTTGATCACCTTCATCAATGTGATCAAACTGTTAAGAGAATGCAAAGCTGACACTGGTACAAAATTTGTCAACTCCAAATTCTTATCATTATTTAACAAGAGGGAATAATGTTAGAAATAAAGTCTTTTGTGTTTAGTGAAAGTGTGTAAGAATATTAGAGACTTAAAGAGAAACTTGATAGGTAGAAGAATTATTTATGGAAGAGACGACTTTGTATTTTGCTTGATGCAAAAGTGTAGAATTACATATAGTACTCTAAGGAGAACTCTAGACACACTAATTCTAGAGAGTTCTCAACTCTAGGAATTTCAAGAGCATTCTAGAGAATATTACAATCCTAAGAAATATCTAGACACTCCAAAATTATAAGAGTTTTCTAGAAACATTAATTAAAATTACTTAAATACAAAATAACTAAGCCCAAAAATCTAAATAATATGTTTAGGCTCAAATCAAGTTTAATCTTTCAACATTCCCCCTTAAACTTGATTTGTGACTCCAAGCATACTCCTTAGCTTTACGAACGTTTCCAACTTGAGTGACTTGGTAAAAATGTCGGCAGCTTGATCTCGAAACATCACATACTTCAATTTCACATCCTTCTTCTCGATGCATTCTCTTATAAAGTGGTAACGGATGTCAATGTGTTTACTTCTTTCATAAAATACAGGGTTCTTTGGCAAAGAAAGTGATGATTTATTGTTAACACATATTTCCATAGGATCTTCTTGTGGCACTTTTAACTCTTTCAACAAGTTCCTTAGCTAAATTGCATGGCAAAAGCATGATGTAGCGGCAACATATTCTGCTTCACAAGTTGACAGTGTGACGATAGGTTGCTTCTTTGACATCCAAGTGAAAGGAGTATCTCTCATAAAGAACACAAAATCAGTAGTGCTCTTTCTATCGTCCAAGTCTCCACTCCAATCGCTATCACTATAGCCAACAATTTCATAATTGTTAGAAGAGTAATAGTGTAAGCCAAAGTTTGTTGTACCTTTGATATATCGAAGGATTCTCTTTGCCGCCTTGAACTGAGTTGTTGTTGGAGCTTCCATGTAACGGCTTACGACTCTTACAACATAAAGAATATCCGACCTTGTACTTGTCAAGTAACGTAGACTTCCAACCAAACTTTTGTAAAGAGTTGGATCCACACTCTCTCCATTTTCATGCTTACTCAACTTGCTGCCACATTCCATCGGGGTGCCAACCGGATTGGCATCATCCATCTTGAACTTCTTAAGGATTTCTTTTGCATAGCCTTATTGCGTGGTAAAAATTCCTTTGTCTTCTTGCTTTACTTCAATGCTAAGATAATATGCCATGAGCCCCATATTTGTCATCTCAAATTCATTTGACATGTCTTTTTTGAACTCTTCGAACATGCTTAGATTGTTTCCAGTGAAGATCAAGTCATCAACATATAAGCACGCAATCAAAATATCTCCACTTTGCGCTTTAATATAGAGTGCATGCTCATATGGACACTTGATGAAGTTCTTGTCTCGAAAGTACTTGTCAATTCGAACATTCCAAGCTCTCGGTGCTTGCTTGAGTCCGTACAACGCCTTTTTCAACTTGAGGACTTTTTGTTCTTGCCCTTTTACTTCATATCCATGTGGTTGCTCGATATAAACTTCTTCTTCGAGAAAACCATTCAAGAAGGCCGACTTCACATCCATTTGATAGATCTTCCATTCATTCTGGGCTGCCAAAGAAATGATCACTCTAATAGTTTCAAGACGAGCAACGGGGGAAAATACCTCATCATAGTCAATTCTTTGTCTTTGACTATAGCCTTTTGCCACCAGTCTTGCTTTGTATCTCTCCACGTCTCCTTTTGCATTCTTCTTCGCCTTGTACACCCATTTTACTCCGATTGCTTTGTGCCCTTGTGGAAGTGTAGTAAGTTCCCACGTATCATTCTTCGTGATTGACTTTATTTCTTCATCCTACGTCTCTCCACTTTACGTTTTCAACAGCTTCTTGATAGCTTAGAGGCTCGCACCAAAAATACAAAAGAGGTTAATGTTATTTTGGTTTTCGGTTACCTCATAAAGCTCTTCAATGCTCGTTAATCGTGGTGTCCTCTCACTTGAGCTTGTTTCATCCAACCTTGGTGTCGGTGAGGCATGTGGTGTAATATGCTCATCTATCATTGGTTGTTCCATTTCATCTTCTTCTTCTTTAAAATAAGGAAGAAAATCATACCTGTCTTCCTG